ATTCATTTGGTTTTTACAAAACAAACGAAATAATTCAATACAAATTATAAAAATAGCCGTTTCCCCCATAATCTACAATTTCATTTCTGTAAAAGTAATGAAAATCCACAAACTCGGCGTTTTTATTGATACATTTAAGTTTTCATTCTTTTTCAGCAATTATTCTTTAGGTTAGGATATAATACGCACTAATAACAAGAATGATCTCCCTGTTTATGATAACATACATATTGAGGATTAAGGATGAATTATTCTTCAATACTGACGATTCAAGCAGTTATACTAGAACATTATCATCAACCTGGCCAGTTGCCGAATTTTTGTTAACGTGTTTCGTTTTATATAAGATCACACGATTATAAATATGACTATTTTCATAATAGAACACTTGATTAGTGATTAGTCTTCGAATTTATCACTGTCTTGGTCAGTATGAAATTTGATTTTCTTTATGTTAATAAGAGTTTAAATGTTTAACAAGGTGGATGAAATTGACGCCCGATACATACTCACTTAAGGCAAATCTCTCTTATTTATATCGGTGAAGACAGAACAAGAGAAGTAAATTGTCTAAGAATCACACCACATACAGAGAGTCAGAATTTATTCAGTAAAATAGGTTATATAACGAATTAATAATAGAAAGTCAATTTTTCATGAAAATTATTAGAAATACTTGTTTATATATTGACAATGGATATTTTCTCCTTTTGTCTTTTCATCTCTTGGTAACACGAAGACTTCTTCAATTGTGCAATATTTATGTAGACTAATAGCTCTCCGTTTATAAGAAAAATTACATATTAATTAATATAGAAGAATTCATCTTATTTACACATGAATTTTATTTAACTTATTGTGTAAATAGAAAAATAGAGTGATGAGTGTAGGCTGTGCATGCAGAGAATATTCATACAAACATTCAAACCTTTCAATACTGATAGATTAATGATAATTTTTATGATTAAAATGAACATTGTTGAATAATATGTGTAGCTACTGTATCTTTGTCAGCGATAGAAGTCACTTTAATTAAAATATGTGTTTTTAGTGTGAATACATTATTTGTCATATATGTAGCGTATGACTATTGCATTCCTGATCTTTACAACTAATAACAATCGGTCTTTGCTGAGAGGTGTCCCGAAGATTCAAAGATTGGATGGATCGATCCTTATTGCGAGAATTCATGAGCAAAAAAACGAAGAAAATCGTTCAGTTTCACTGAGGACAAGCGAAAATTTTCTAAAGTTGATAAATAGTGTTGCACTTGCAATGAATGCCGATGCAAGATATGAGAAACAAAAATAGTCCGATTGGATTGTGTCGGAAACTCGATACTAGAAACTCTATTTTTCATTTCGTCTTTGAGAAATCTGCGGTGATTATATATGGTGTGCTGTATACTTCTTAACTTATCATTTAACCCTTTGAGAACGGAAGTTTTTCCTCTAAAAAAAAAAGGGGCTCTGCAATCAATTTATGGTATTTAACTCAAAATGAATACATAAAAACCTTATGATAAACAAAACAACACAACTTTGTTCATCTTTTAAACAAAATGTTTGCTTGAAATTAAAACATTCAATTTTAGATCTAACTGGTTCTTGTTTTGTATTACTAATAAGTATATTTTCTTGGCGTCTTTTTTTTTCAGACAAATGTATTTCATTATCAAAATCAAGAAAAGATTATGATGCTGCTAGTTTAAGCTTGTTTTCAAAAGAAAGTCTTGCAAGATTTATTAACTTCCCACCAGAGTAGAGAGACTTCGTCACTCATGCTATGAAATTTAAATGTAGTAATTTATTTTGAGTAAAGATATGAACCGTTGCTACTGCGACATGAAAAAAAAGAACGTAGAGTGTTGAGGATTTTGCTGCATCTAGAATCAATTATCAGGGATGTTCTTATCTAGCTTCTTTTTCCCTAGATATGCTAAAATCATTTTCTCTTTGTTTTCATATCAAAGTTTCTATCTGAGCTAACTGAATGTATGGCAAAATCGAAAATAACTTTGCTTTGTCAATGAGAACAGGAATGGCTATACATAGAATAACTATAGAAATTAAGAGTCTTTTCAAATATTCTCGAAAGACGATACATCAAGCAAAGAAAGAGAAATCATGCCATGATGTCATTGTATAGTAGCAGAAAAGATAAAAAAAACATCTGAAAAAGATCTAGATGACAGAACCAAATACATAAAAGATATTGTTGAAATGAAAAATGAGGTAACTTGTGACTTTTATTGCCTTTGAAAGTCTCATGGTTTAATATAAATAAAACGACGTATTCTTTATCGAAAAAGAAAACCGGTAGTAAAACATATGTGGGCAATGTCCGTAATGCGTTAACTTTGATGAAGTTGTGAACATCGTAAAAGAAAGAAAGAAAAGTAGATGATATCGATATTTCTTAATATACAATGTGAAATAATATTAACTATTTATGTGCTGTTATTTTATCTTCTTGTGTTTACTCATTTATAAAGGTTATTTCTCAATAAAAATTTAGAATTTTTAATTTGTATTTCAAACGTTCGATAAATTATTTATTTGCATTGATACACTTTACTTGATTATTTATCAAGCATTGTGATTATTAGTATATTAACTACTGGAAATTTTTCACATTACCCTGTAAATTCTCTCAGCAAATAATCAGAATGAACAGTTTATCGACTGAAAAATCTATTGCATTTATAGTCTTAATTAAATATTACTCAAATTTTATAAAAAAATATATACTTGACCATTAATTTTCCTTATTTTTTTTTCCTGAATTAAAAAAAAACAAAGGTTCGAAGTTCTCATGCATATTGTAACGCATTAACATAAACAATTATCAATAAGTGACACGACCATTTTTTGATTTAGAATAATATTAGTTGAATGATTATCTTCTAAAGAGATGAGAATCTTAGCTAATATATATATTCTAATTTTCAATGAATAATAAATACAGTATTTTTCGAATAGTTTCAAGGATAATTGATGAATCTAATAAAATCATAATTAAATTATTAATATGTTCAATTTTTCATTAGCATTAAAATTCATTGAAAACTGTCAAAAAAAAACAAAGAATTCTACTGATTGTTCGAAAATCGAATATTTATTTATGTCAATAGATTCTATCTAAATACAATGAATAAATGGAATAGAACGTTTTTCAATGCAAAGAAAAAACATTTAACCAAAAAGTAATCGATTATAAATAATGTTAAAAACAACAATGAAAAGTTTTCAAATGAACATTTAATCTAACATATTGACTGAGGACAAGATTTTCATATCGACTACTAACATTATCTATTCAATTCAATTTTATATTACATTATCATTTTTTTTTGAAAATAATTATTTCTTATTCAGTTTTCCATGCCACCCATAATCTTTTGATTATACATGAGAATTCATTCCATAAATATTTTTGACATAGGAACAAAATTTAATTTGATATATTCTCGTCTTTTTTCAAATTAAATATTAATAATTCATTCGAAGTGTGCATCTAAAAGATTTTTTCTTTTCTTCAATAACCATCAATATTCATCCTAACCTTTTTTTTCAAACATAAAATCTCTTCATATAAAAGTTATCAATATCTCCTTTACTTCAATATACGATTTATATTTACTTCTACTATATTATTGTTTATTATAACTATTTAAATAATATATTGAGAGACTTTGTCAAGAAACAATACAAGATTCTGTTAAGAATATTTTTTAGTCTTAATTTTCACTCATGAGTTGAAATTGAAAACTGTAAGTCTATCATTATATTAAAGATCGAATTATTATTACGTACATTGCTGTGAGAACAGTGCCATATATGCTTCTTTGTATCGATGTAATCTAGTATTTGTTTATAACTAATCAATTTTTCTTTAATTGATCTAGAATTTTATTTTAAATAGTTTTCCTGCATTCATTGCAGAAAAAAAAAATAGTTTAATAGTCATAAGAATTTGTCTATTCGATTATTCATACTGACCATATATCAGGCTAATCAATTAAATAGCTAGAATATTCGAAATACAATACTAAATGATCTGGAAATCTAAAATTCAACTATTATTATTTAAATAAAAAAAAGAAAAACAAAAAATGATATGATATTATTGATCACCATTCTTGTATATTCTAAATGTCTGAAATATATTTCTATTAATCAATATGAAATAATTAATAAGAATAATTATTTAAATAAAATCAATTCAATCAAACATCACAAAAGTCTCAGTTTATTGGGAATTATTTATCATTCATTATGAGCATCAGTCGGCCCTTCCAATTCATCTTTGACTTATGATGATGATGATGATAATGATAATTCCTACAGATAGATTCGAACTCATATCCTTTCTTTTTTCAAACAAATTTTATCTTAGTTATTTGCAAGTACCAAAACCATTCAACTAAATATTGACAATCAATATACTTACGAATAAACTCTATATCTCTCAATAGCATATATCATTTGTATATAGATGCTAAAAAAAGAAACAAAGATGAACACTCTTGTTCATCCTAATATGATCTCATCATTGAGCTACTAAAAATCATCATAAAATAAATCATATAGAGAATTATACAAATAAATTTTGAAGAGAAAGAGAATGAAATGAACAAACACAAATAACAATTGATGAGACAGACGAGATTTTGTGTATATCGTCGACATTTGTATGGTTTTGCAAAGAAACAAAAAAAAAAACAATCATTGTCTTCTAAGGAAAAACACATAGACATAGATAATAAGTAATCATTTTCGTTGTTCTCTGTACATATAACATTAGAACAAGACGAAGAGAAGAATAATAAATCAATCATGCCTACAAATAATGATAAAAAAAAGAAAAAGAAAAAAAAAAACAAAGTGTTCTTCAATTCCAATGATGACTTACAAAACATCATGGATTTTTTTTTTAATAAGTTTTTTTTTTTTTTAAAAAAAAAAAAAAACTTTCTCTTTTCTATGCTTTTGCTTACCTTAAAAAGAAGGTGCAGTTGATGAACTGCTACCATTTGTCGTGTTTGTTGATCCCATTCCATTTGCTCCACTATTCCATTGTTGTGCATAAGCTGCCCAAGGATTACTAGCAGACATCATCATAGCAGCAGCAGCAGCGGCTTGTGCTGCAGCAGCATTTGGATTAGTTGACGATGAATTTGTTGTATTTGTATTTGATGTTGATGTTGACGATGAACCAGACTAAAACAATCATGTCAAATAATGCAATTAGTTTGTTTACTTATTGTTGTGAGAATGTTACACTTGTATAGTACTGTTTCTTTTTTTTCTAAAGTGAATGTCGTCGTTCAGAAAAATTGATTGATGAATTTCGATTTAAAATTTTGCATAGAGATAGAAATTATCGAGATGAATTTATTATGAAACTTTCAAGTCTATTAATTTACTTCGTATTTTGAAATACGAGTAATGTAAAAAGATAGAAATAATGACAATGTTTAAAAAACTTTTACAATAAACTTTTCTTGATAAGACTTGTCTCTATGTAAAGTTTTAAGTTGCAATTCGACAATCAAATTTTTCTATTTAGAATATTCATAAGTAAATTTTATATAGTATGAACTCAAAAGCAATGTATTAGTTAGAAGACTTCTCTCTTAAGTCAAATGCAACATATAATAGAATCACTAAAAAATTTTATGAACAACATAGATGAGAAAAAACAAACAATCATCAATGCCAATAATTTCATTACCTCTTTCATTTGTTGCATGATTTGATCAGCAATATCATTTTGTCCAATTGATCTATAATATTCTATCCATTGTTGACTATAATCAGGTTGTCCAGTAGTTGGATTAATTACTAAAATAGATATTAGTTTAATATTCAAAAAAAAAAAAAATCAATACAAACCAGGTGTTGTCGGATTATTATTAGTATTTGTAGCTGTAGAATCTGTTGCTTTTGTTGTTGTGGTACTTGTTGATGTACCTGAAGAAGTAGCTCCTGTCATACTTGCTTGCATCATATTATAATAACTCATTGATTGATAATAAGCTAACCAAGCTGGATCCATTTGTGGCATTCCTGATGCATCTGTAGTTGATGATGAATTATTAGTTGATGTACTATTATCATAAGGATTCACTAATAGATTACATTAAAAAAAAAAATCAACTATTTCTTTTTTGTTTTGTTTTAAATTTATTACTTTGAGGCCATTGTCCATAAGCATTTGCCCATTGACTATAAGGATCACTTGCATTAGCTCCATTAGCATCATGTGCATATGGATCATTATTTCCACTCCATGAATCAACTGTATTTGCACCAACTAATGGTAAATTAAATTGTTGTTGAAATTGTAATGGTGTTAACATATCACCAGGACCACCGGGACTATTAATAATTTTTTCATACATTAATTGTTGTGCAGCAACTATTTGTTCAGGTGTACCACGTAATTTAAATAATCTATCCGATGAATTTCCAATAGCAGGTACATAAGTTTTATCAAGTTCAACAAAAGCACCTGATCTTCGATTTATTTCTTTAATACTTTCACCACCTTAAATTAAAATATAAAATTCTATAAATTAAAAAATAATATTTTAATATACAAACCTTTGCCAATTATAATTCCTGCTTTATCATGTGGTGCATGATAATTTGCTTCATTACATGGACCACTCATCGGTGTACCACCAGCCTAATAGAACACACAGACACAAAAATAAAAATAAAATCATTTTCTTATAAAAATCATAATTTACTCGTGAACCATAATCATTAAATGATGTTGTATTAGTTGAATTTGTATGAAAACGATTTGGTACTGGTAAACCACCTGATTTTGCTAATGAATCAAGTATATATTGTTTAGCACGCTTAAAATAGAATAAAAAACAAAAAATTCTTTATAAAAATTATATTATTAATTTTCTATTACTTCAACTTTATCAGCTTCGCCTGTCATTTTTAATGGTTTATGTTCAATACCATCAATTTCCGATGTATCTTGAGCAACATACATTTTAACACCAAATTCTTCTGATACACGTTTAATATTTTCTCCACCTTTACCAATAACTAATCCACATTTAGCTGATGGTAACATAACATCAATAGATTTAATATTTGTACCACCCATTGAATATGGATTTATACCAATAGGACCACCTTCAGCCATTTTTCCTTTTGCTATTATATCATCCATAATACGTTTAGCACGTTCAATAGCATCTCTTGTACCACATAAATTTGCTAAACGATCTGGTGGATTCGGACCACCAGGAATAGGTTCAGGTCGTGTTTGACATATTTGAACTTTACAACCACTTTCAGCTTGAAGACGAATTATTTGTTCACCACCTTTACCAATAATTAAACCAACAAATTTATCTGGAATTTTATAATCTTCTTGAAATGTTAATTGATTTGATAATGGTAATATTGATGGATCAACTGGTGATGATTTTACACCTAATTGTGAATTAATTTGTTGTGCAACTTGTTGAGCACGTAAAACAGGTGGTGGAAGATCATTTGTTTGTGTTGGTGATGTAAATGCTGGACGTTTATTTGAATAATCATCATCATTATTTGGTCGTTTTAATGATGGATTTCCAGAAGAATTTGGTGCGGCTGCAGTTATTTTTTGTGCTACTTGTCGAGCACGTTCAAGAGCATCTTGAAAAGCAGATGGATTATTGATCATATTTTCTTAACGAATTCTTTTTCTTTCTTTTTTTTGCACTATCAATGATTGATACAAATATTCATTGTTTTAGTTTATATAGCAGCCATTAATCTAGTTCGTCTGATTTTGTATGTTTTTTTATTTTTAAATGCATAGATGTCTAAGAAAAAAATAAATCTAATAATCTCTTGATTAGAGAGGTTTGTTACCATGGTAACAGAATGAATCAATGGAGAATGGAACAAAAAAAAGAGTTTATTTTAGTTGAAATGTAATAAGAAGCAACAAAAAAAAGAAAAAAATAAAATAATGAGCGGTGGAGATACAGTTCGTGAACAATTTTCTGCCTTACAAAAACAACAAAAAGAACGATTGAATCAATTAAAAGAAAAATCCAATAAGAAAAAAGTATCAACTGTTGATGTTAGTGTATTTTATTTTTTGATTTAATTCTATTTATATGTATAATTTTTTTTTCTTTTTTTTGTTTAAAAAATATGTAGGCAAGTGTTTCAATGAATCTTGAAGTGGATTCAGGTCCATTTCCATTAGAAGAGGTTTGTAAATTAATATTATTTTATTAACAAATGATATCATGTATTAAGAATATACTGAAAACAAGAGCAGAATGGAAGTTAGCTTTTTTTTGTAAAATTTTGAAGAACATTTCTATATAAGAAAATAAACTGAATAAATCAATTGAAATAATTGAAGATTATATTATATGAACAACTTTTGATATTCTCAGTTCATCATAATATAGTGAATTTAAAAAAAAACAAAAACTTTGTAATAGGTTAGGTTTTGTATATTCTTTATTAAGTGTATGTGATTATTCATTTGTATTTTTGACTTAGATGATCATGTCATGCAAACTACGACTCTTTTTTAGTCTTGCATTATATAAATATTATTTAAATTTTAGAAAAATGATAAGTTTCAGTCGAAGGTGCACTCAAATCATATGTACCAGAGGTCCAAACAGGCCACGTTTTTTAGGTCTGCACGGCCTGTCAAGTTTTTCGAGCGAGTGCAATAATGATGACAGACTAGAAACCAGAGGCCCAATCAGGGTACTATGACTATTGCTCAATCGGATCCTGACCTGCCTGCCATAGGCATCACCTATAGTTTACAGACTAGTGCATGTCAGAGGTCCAAGTAATTTTTGGTTTGTCGGCCTGTCACTTGCACTAGTCTGAAAACCATAGGTGATGCCTATGGCAGGCGGGTCAGGATCAGGTTGAGCAATAGTTCTAGTGCCCTGTTTGTACCTCTGGTTTTTAGTCTGTCGTCATTATTGTACTCGCTCGAAATACTTGACAGGCCGTGCAGGCCTAAAAAATGTGGCCTGTTTGAACCTCTGATATGTACTAACAACATCAGTTGCTTTCGCTTAGTTTTCAAATTTACTGTACATAAACGTTAATATTCAGACATATTATTCAATCATACATAACATTATGCAAGAATGAGAGTAGCATGTGAAAAATGAAGATATACCGTATGAAATGCATTTGTAGATAATTTTGCTTTTGAACGATTATTGATATTCAGGAGATAGAATGTTCAACAAAGGAAAAATTCATAGGAAATTTTTAAAACAATGACTACAGTGTTCTTGGATAGATTGTTAATTACTTTTTGAACTTATCTGAGCTATTTCTCTGAAATGCTAAGAGACATTGGTTTCAATGAAAAATTGACGACATGAATTTCTTTCATGACGTGTTATGTAAGAAAAAAACAAGAAAACTGTATATTTGAACAGGTAGAGTCTTTTCTAAAAAGTTTTGTTTTTGTATACGGGAGGAGGAGAGATCAAAAACTACGATATTAACTCGAACGTCCTTTATTAATGGAAATATTTTATTAGATTTTTTTTTTGAATCATTTTACATTAGAATAATATGAGTTTATGTCTATTTAATATGATAGAATTATTTGTTTAGAATAATAATGTCATTGCTTCGATTATTGCTGGTCAACAAGAAAATTTAAATGAACAAATTCGAGTAAGAAATTTCTCGTTTTTTTTTTAATTTTATTATCTATTTATTTATTTATTCATTAAAGGAATTACGTGATGAAAATGGTCGTCTTCGAAAACTTTTAGCTGAAAAAGATTACGAAATTGGTTATTTACGTCGTATTCAAGAAGAAGAACGTCAAGCATTTATAGGTAAAGTAAGTGTCTGTTGTTATTGTTTGATTTAATCTAGAAAAAAAATGTTTTTTTTTTTTTTGTTTTCTTTTTTAAGGTTCTAATACAGTTGGTGGTGATGCAATAGCAACTAAAGTTGTTGAATTATCAAAAAAGAATCGAGAATTATCTGCTGAATTAGAAAGTGAAAGAGCAAAACTAAAAAAATTATCAATTAAATGTAAAGAACTTGAATCAATAGTAAATAATAAAAACATATGTTTATCATTTTTTTAAATAAATTAATTGTTTTTTTTTTTATTTTGATACTAGAATAATAAAACACAAGGTGATGTACGACGATCTTCAATTAATGTTGATGAAGTAAGTTTTAATTAATTTTTGAAAAAA